CACACCCTCACACACACCCCCACACACCGGCCCGACCTTCGTGAGAGACACCCCCACACACACACCCACACACACCCCCACACACACTCTCACACACACCCCACACACACTGACACACACCCTCCACACACACCCACACACACACTGACACACACACCCTCACACACACACCCTCACACACACCCTCACACACTGACACACACACCCTCACACACACACCCTCACACACACTGACACACACACCCTCACACACACACCCTCACACAACCACTCACACACACACTCACGCACACCCCCACACACACCCACACACACACCCTCACACACACCTTCACACACCCCACACACCCCACACACACCCACACACCCTCACACACACCCTCACACACACCCCACACACACTGACACACACCGGCCCAACCTGCTGTGAGAGACCCCCCCACACACACCCTCACACACACCCCCACACACACCCTCACACACACCCTCACACACACTGACACACTTACACATACCGGCCCGACCTGCTGTGAGAGACCTCCCCACACGCACACACCCTCACACACACCCACACACACTGACACACACCCTCACACACACCCACACACACACCCTCACACACGCTCACACACACACCGGCCCGACCTGCTGTGAGGGACCCCCCACACACATACTTCCACACACACACCCCCACACACACACTGACACACACACCGGCCCGACCTGCTGTGAGAGACCCCCCCACACACACATCCTCACACACACCCACAAACACCGGCCCGACCTGCTGTGAGAGAGACCCCCACACACACACACACCCTCGCACACACTGACACACACACCCACACACACCCTCACACACACCCCCACACACACACGCACACACACCTTCACACACACTGACACACACCGTTCTGACCTGCTGTGAGAGACCCCCCCCCACACGCACACACCCTCACACACACCCACAAACACCGGCCCGACCTGCTGTGAGAGACCCCCACACACACACACCCTCACACACACTGCCACACACCCTCACACACACCCTCACACACAGCGGGTGGGAGGCGGAGGGCGAAAGAGATAGAGAGAGAGAGAGAGAGAGAGAGAGAGACAGGGGTCTGGTGGAGAGACTGAGGAGAGAGAGAGAGAGAGAGAGGGGGAACGCACACGTGGGGTGGAGGGGAGAGATTGGGACCGGCACGAGGGGGGCAGAGGGCCTGAAGTGGGGAAAGGGCACGTTCTTGCCCCACACGGTAGTGCTCTGGACTCCCAGGTCAGGAGGTTGTGGGTTCGAGCCCCCAAGTCGGGGACTCTCAGCTCACAGTCGGGGCTGACGTTTTCCAGCCCAGCGCTGGGGTGGTGGGGGGGGGGGGGGAGGGGGGAGAGAACGAGAGAGAGAGAGAGAGAGAGAGAGGGGCATCGTCAGGGACGCCCTCCTTCTGAGGAGGCGTTAAACCCATCGCTCCCCTCCCCGTCTGTGCCCTGTTCGGGTGGACGTTAAAGATTCTCCCGCGACGCTGTCGGGATGGGGTGGGGGTGAGAAGGTGGGGGGGTTTCTCTCTCTCTCTCTCTCTCTCTCTATCTCTCTATCTCTCCCTCTATCTCTCTCTCCCGTTGTCCTTCAGCTGAGTGGAGGGGCCTTTGCAGTGAAGGAGAGAGTGAGAAGCGTAGACGTGTGATGGGAGGAAGGGTTGACGTGAGAGAGAGAGAGGGAGAGTGAGAGAGAGAGGGAGAGAGAGAGGGAGAGAGAGAGGGAGAGAGAGGGAGAGAGAGAGGGAGAGAGAGAGAGAGAGGGAGAGAGAGAGGGAGGAATGAAGGAAGGTCATTGTGTGCAGTGGAAACTGGTGTATATTAGGAGTCATTGCGAGTCGGCAGGTTGGTCGTTCTCTGAAGCGCTCTGAGAACTGTTTTGCCCTCTCCTTCAAGACCCGTCTCAAGACCCTCCACCCCCCACCCCCTGCGCTCCACCCTCCCCGATCCGACCGTCCGGAGGACGTCCCAAAGCGCTTCACAGAAACACACTGTAAAGTGAGTTGACTGTATATTTGTGGGCGAACGCGGCAGCCAATTGCGCACAGCAATGTCCCACAAACAGTCGTAGATTGAAAATGACCAATTTATTATTGTTTTGGGTTTTGGAGGATTATTATTAGGCTCTGTGTGGAGTAAGGAAACTTGCCCAAGGTTTCGCCCTCTGCCTGGGATTGAACTCAGGTCTCTCACTTGCAAAGCGAGTGCTCTAACCACTGAGCTACAGGACTCCATGACCGGCACTGCCCACCACCACCTCCGCAACAGTGCCAGACTCCGCCGCCGCCTCACCCCTCAGCCCCCAAACCCTCACCCGCGCATTCGTCACCTCGAGGCTCGA